GACTCTGCTCATCTGCTTTAATTAACAACGGATGACAAAACACAAAACGACAGAGTGAAATAGATGGAGGAAGAGAGGAAGTGGAAGAGAGATAGAGAAAGACATGAAGAAGCAGAGTTGGCCTCATTGACCTCTGGGCTTTGACCTCTGAGTCAGAGAACAGAGAGAAGAGGAGGATGAGGGATGACCTGCCCACCAGCTGAAGACGCTCATCGTCGTGACGCTCATCCTCCTCCGAGTCCTCTTCACCATCATCTTTTTTTGTGTGTGGCGTCTGAGAAAATTTGTAATGTGGATATTTTACCCGCTAAGTTCACTTTTAGACTGCATGTGTGTGTAATGGTGATTTTTAGAGCCTTTTTTGGAGGATAGCGCCTCCAGCGAAATGTCTTTCACTTCACAGCACAGTACAGCCTTGTGGTGTAGCCTTTAACTGTGAAAAAAAAACAACTTTCTTCTATAAAAAACTAATTTGACAAGTTTGTCTGCTTTAGAAAGGTTGAGTTCAGTTTCATGGTCTATAATCATGCAAATAAATCCAACAGTTTCCTTCCTGAATGAGCATTTTGCCACTTAACACTCGCTGGCATTCCCGATGTTGAAATATGGAGATGTTGACATTTGCAGCTAATGTTATTTATGTGTGTCTGCTTTCTGATGTGCCCGTGTTTCCGGAGTCATCGCTGTTGTATCCTGATTTATTTTTCACCCCCAGGCAGTAAATCTCTCTCTCTCTCTGCCTCTCTGGAGATGTGACCCTGGTCAAACATAAAAGAGAGACATAGCCTAGGCCTGCCAACCAAGAGCACATGAAAACATGGAGATGTATTAATTTTGGGGGATCTTTTAGAAATAGGCTAATTGTGTTTGGCATCTTGAAAACATTAGCTTATTTGCTTGATTTTTCAGTCAGACGATTGGTACTAATGCATATACCAAATTAATTAGCCCACATTTAAAATAAGTTAATTAAAAACACAAGTAGGCTAGTTTTTGTCGTAGCTGTGGATTTGCCTCCGCTGATTATCTTGAGTGGCAAGTATCATAACTGGGGTTAAATTTTACTGTCACCAAGCTGCCATTTTTTTACAGTTTTAATGATTAGCCTATCTTTGTTGTTGAAGCCGTAGGTGTGCTAAACTCTGTTTCCTTAGCATAGTGAACAGTAGCCTAGCTTACTTAAAGGATAACAGAACATATAGGCTACTGTATGTCAGCCCAATACCCTATTAAAAAATAATATCAAAACTAATGGCAGACAGCCTTACTTTTACTGTGTAAACAAATATCCTGTCCATGCTAGTGAACCTTAAATGCTAATACTCCCTTGTTTCCTTAGCATAACAAACAGGATTCTAGCTTACGAGTCATATCACAGAGAATAGATGTACAAATTATACCTCAATGGAATAAGAGTCATGTCAAACACCTTTCTTTTCTAGTAGGCTACAAAATAAACTATCATGTCAGTGAAGCCAGGAGATCTTCTTTTTCAATTAGCATAGCTAGCATAATAAGCCTAGCTTATGAACAGCTTATTGCAGGACAAATATGTGTTGTACAATTTAATGCCCCAAACTCACTAAAACTTAAGGCCTAATAATATTTAAAAAAAAAACATTTTCCAGGGGTGCCGGTAGCCTAGTGGTTATGTTGCGCGCCCCATGAAAAGAGGCTATAGTTCTCGTCGCAGCGGCCATTGGTTTAAATCCATCCTCAGACCTTTGCTGCATGTCATTCCCCACTCGTTCCTCCCAACAATTCATGTCTCTTCTCAGCTGTCCGATCAAATAAAGGCAAACATGGTCCAAAAATATCTTTAAAAAAGCCAAAAACATTTTCCATCATGTTTTGCTGGTCATATGAATTTTGAATAAAAATGAAGCAGTACCCTTACATAATTTTTAGTGTCAGCATATTTGTCAGACACACCAGTTCTCCAATGGCCTTTGGTCTAGTAAGTGTAAGTGTTTTCTTTAAAATCACTGAAATGGGCACACTTGGTTCTAAACTTAAATTATCTAAGGATTCTAATGAAAGTGTTTGTTTGCATATCTTTGTTTCAAATATGTTCATTAGAAAATCTTTAAAAAGAGTGTCTGCTGGTACCCTTCTTTCTATTATTAATTATTTTAACATTTGTATCAGCCTCATAAAGCATCTTTTAACATAAGAGAACCATGGAGTAATATATGTAATAAATGCAGCTGCAGCACATCATTTTTCACACATCAGCTGTCACATTCTTCCCTCTGGCTTTAGGATTTCTCTTCCCCTTTGCTCAAAAACATGAATGTAATCCTCATTGTCATCCAGCCTGCTCATCAAGCTCCATCATCTATGTACCCTCTTTCCTTATCACTCATTACCTTTTAGACAAAAGGCCCACTCATGAGCAGCCTATGGCCTCCTCTGTCTCTCACACACCGGAGAGAAAATGGCCTGGAGGTCCAGCTTGGTTAAATATGGCCACTGTCACTGTGGGGGGAGGTCTTTTTTATGCTGCAGCGGCATGGAGCATTATTGTTATTAATCTGTATATGGGTTATTACATCTGCATGATATCACATTGCCTTATTTCACAATGAGATTAGAAGATTTAGCATGCATGGCTTGTACTTAATGCACTTTGTTGTGTTGCTCTCTTCCTCTCTCTCTCTCTCTGCTGTTTTCCCTCTCCATTAACTAGCAAGAGTTTTATCCAATAGGACGTGTCGGCGTAATTAGCTGTGTCCTGGGGTTGAATTAGCTCACACTCTGCCTAGCTCAGCTGGATAGAATCTGACACACTGCTTTCTGTGTGTGTGTGTGTGTGTGTGTGTGTGTGTGTGTGTGTGTGTGTGTGTGTCATTACAGTACTCTCCTCTAAGTTATGAGATATGCTTTCTCTTCTGTTGAGTACAGAAGTAACAGGCCTGAATCTAATAGCGAGCTAGTTTCACCTTTAGATAGATATCTCTGAAGACCTTAGAATGGTTCTTCTGTGTGCAAGCTCAGCCTGTGTCTACAGGTGTTTGTTTGCCAACAATATACACACAAGGACACATATGAGAGTCATGAATAATCAAGGTATAAGATCCATTTACCTCACAGCAGCACACCGATTCAAATCGGATTCTATCTCAGCCTGCTGGAAGGAGTCACTGTCACCTCCTGGCTGCTTTTCATCCAATGGGAAAACATGTGCATTTCCACAGGTCAGGCACAGAACACAATCACCAAAATAAGACTCACATTGCCCAAATTTAGACTGAAGAATATTCTGGGGCCAAAACAACAAACGAGATAGAGATAAAGCATTTCCAAACATACTTTTCCAACAACAACAGCAACATTCTGAAAGTTTGCTGACAGAAATACAGTGGAAATAAGTAATCCATCCACTTAAAAGTGAACATTTTTACAACACAAATAAGTCAAGAGTTGTATATTGTAAAATTGAAAATTACCTCCTGCTGTCCACCTCTAAAAAAGACCTATTGCCTTTCTTCTGTGTTGGTGGATTGAAGAAACGAAGTGTAACATAAAAGGTAGATTGTAGAGACTGATTGAGTCTCCATGTTTAAAGTCTCAAGTCTCTGGAGGTGTTCACCCTTTCAAACACACTTATAATTAGAGCAATTCATCAGCTAATCATTTACACACTCATTCACCATATAGTGTCTTCAGGAGTAATTGCTTCAGTGTCCTGCACAAGAATTGAACTTGTAAACTGCAGGAGCCAAGGATTGAACCTGCAATCTATAACTCTACCTCTAACAAAAGAATGGAGCTGCGGTCTTGCACACTTAAAAGTTTGAGTGTTTAGAGAAGTTATCGCATTGATGTTGCTCGGTTAGATTAGCTGAATTGTTTGTTTGCAAGACAGGAAACCATCATACCATAATGCACCAGTATTATGCTGTAGTGATACCACTTTGTTCATAGATAGGCTCAAACACGAGAAAGGACCCCAAATGGAAAAAAAAACCCAAAAGGTTTCCCGCTCCTCATGGTGCAGTTAAAAGCCAATTAATGGCAGCATGTTTATGTGCATTTGTGTTTATCAATATGAGGTTCAGAGCAGTATGTGGGATTTGCACTCATGTGTAACTCTATCCGTATGACACACTATGCTAGCACTAATGTGGTGCGTCTGCGCATGCACGTGCCAATCTTCTGCGCAGCTTTATTGGTTATCATTCCGGCTGAGTTCACTCACATGCCATATGTTTAGAGGCCAACACGTGGTAGACTGGGCATAATACAGCCACACTATGGACACAGCCAGATCCAAATAACACCAAGAATCCCACTTGAATCTGTTAGCGATGCTTTCCTCAATGCTTATGTTTAGCTCTTTGATGGAATCTTGAACTCCAGAATGGTAAATTACTTATTACAGCAAACAGGAATGAAGAGTGCAAGAGTCTTTAGTTGTTTCACTTACAAGGACTGGCGTCACGTTTGTTTTGACTTTTTCCTCCTGCTAAAGACCATAAAGTGGCAGAGTTACAGGCCATTCAACGGACAAGCCACTTATGATCCTCTGATACACACCCAAGTTTGGATTTGAAGCTGTGAAAATGTCAGTGGACAAAGTAAACTTTCCATTAAGGCTGAAACTTTATAGTCTGTATCTACATTTTTCATTTTTATGGAAAAATGTTTTCTACATGCAGGGCCTGACCGATATGGGATTTTTGGTGCCGATACCGATTTTTTCGCTAATATCTTTCTTGGATCCATGTTGGGTCGGAGAGATAGATGTACACATTTATTGTGTTGATCCCTTTAAATGTGATATAATCAGCCCATACCGATAGTCACTGGATATGCTAATATCGGCTGATATTATCGGCTTGCTGATTAATCGGTCAGGCTCTACGATTTTGTCTGTGTGTTCAGGTGCAACTGAGCTTAAACTTTTATAATCAGTTCTCCTAAATATGTTGCTAAACTTGCATGGAACCATTAAACCTAACCTAATGTTGTTATTTATTTGTTCTACCTCTTTGTAGATCCAGACGTCGTCACTCCATTCACAACCTCTGATCGAAGCAGAACAACAACAACAACAACAAAAAAAAAAGGTGTATTGTGACTCACCTAACCATGGACAGGCACAGAAAGTGGGTGCAAAGCTTCGGAGCTGTGCTATTGGTGCTCTTGTGTCACATGACCTTAGCACTGGAGGTGCCACTGGATCGTAAGTATTGTCTTTATCAATATCAGAATTACTATTATTACTTAAAAAGTAACTTTTCAACCAACTATGCAGCTTGTATCAACACTTAATTTTCTAAACTGTCAGGGAAGTTAAATTAAACTTGTTTATGTTATCACCATTAAGAACATCACAGTCCCTTTGGAGCACTTATGGGGGTTTTAGAGCTGCATTTTGAGCAGCAGTTTACTGGTTCTCTTGTGTTTCAGCTTTGCACGCATCAGCATGGGATAAAGTCTGCAGTTTCAGCTATGAAATGCAATTAAACTCCTTAAGAATTCTACCTACTGTATCTTTCTTTAACACACCTGCGTAAAATTATTCTTCAACTGCTCCTTGTGAGTCGATTGCCCCCTGCCTAATGTAACAGAAGGTGTTGAAATTCTCTCTAAAGACGGCTGGCTCAATACGGTGCATGAAAGTACTTTTTCACCTTTTACTCCTTGCAAAAAAAACTAACACCTTTCCTCACTATCCTATCACTGTGGTACGGCGTGTTACGGTGGACATAAAGCTAAAGTTCTGGAAGGATGTAAGTTGCCACAAACGCTGCTGTGACTTTTGGTGTTGCAGGAATTTTTTCTTTTTTTTTAAAAGAAGAAAAGTTTATGTGAATTCTAGCGATGTTAGAGTTGCATGCAATTATGTCAACAGTGTTTGTGTGTGGAGTGACTTGCTTGCTTTGGCGTGACGCTCTGTATATGTCGGCTCAGAAGACGTCAGGTAGGTTGTCATCAGATAAGATGTGTTGTGGCTTCGTTTGCAGCTCCACAAGGTGTGAAACTACAATGTTGAGTCTGAATGTGCGCTTGTTGCATGCTGCTTGCAAATCCTATCTTCCGTCACTTCAAGTGTGTAATGTTTTCTTATCATTGTGTGTGTGTGTGTGTCTTAACTACGCTTGTGTTCATGTATCCTCAGTGCCCCAACCCCCCACTATCACGCTACAGTCCCCGAAGGATTACATCTTTGATCCGCGGGAGAACATTGTGATCCACTGTGAGGCAAAGGGGAAGCCTCATCCCAGGTGAGAAGATCACTCCTCCCATCACATTGATGCTACAGACAAACTCTCTCCTCGATTATTTTTAATGGTTACATTTCTGGTTAACATATCTAAGCAACAAAAACTCTTGGAAGTGAGAAATTGTCAGAATCAGCAGCTTCCTTCCAGTTGTACAGTGCTCTGTGTGAAATTATAGATCTGCTTCTGAGCGCAACTTAACCCAAGCAGTATGGAAAATCTCTATAGCAACTGTTGCCAGGGAGACCATTTGGAAAACACACCTGACAGAGTGAATTAGACACAGTTTGGATTTGCCACATGGCACTGAATCGAATGAGTTAACCAAATCCCTTCAATGAAATCACTCATTCCTATAAGTCTGCATGCAGAAGCCGCAATGCATCCTGATTGGAACACTCTACTGCGTCATTACCTCTCTTTTACACTACCTCATGGTTTCCAGCATAGAATAATATACACCGATATCTATTGTTGTTGTACCCAGCTTCTCATGGACAAGGAATGGGAGCCACTTTGACGTAGAGAAAGACTCCAAAGTCCTGTTAAAGCCCGGATCAGGAACTCTGGTCATCGACATCAGTGGGGAAAAGGCCGAGGCTTACGAGGGAACATACCAGTGCACGGCACACAACGAGCACGGCACCGCTGTGTCCAACAACATCGTCATCAGACAGTCAAGTAAGATTTGGGATTATATATTTTGTTTTTATTTAAGCTCTAATTTAATTATCTTTTACGCCTCAAAAAGCAGAGGAGTTAAGAATAATGTGCTATTTTCATTTTAATTTCTCAACCAAAACAAACGTCTCTTTTAGAAATTATGAATGGATGTACTGTCATGCTATTATCAAACTACACTACAGGAAGCCTGCAGTACCTTTTGTTTGATGTTTGTGACTCGCAGGGTCCCCCTTGTGGTCGAAGGAGAGGAATGAGGCCATCGTGGTGCAGATGGGGGTTTCCCTGGTGCTGCAGTGCCGACCCCCTGCAGGGCTGCCCCCACCCGTCATCTTCTGGATGGATAACAGTGAGTCACTGCACACACGGTTCAAGGACATTCGATTTTATTTATGAGCAACTGTAAACATTTAGAGTCATTGTAGACTCAGGTGACCCTTTTATCTGAAACTATGAAGTATTTGTTGAAAGAACCGATGGATAAAAAGGTGTAGCAACCCCCAACAAAACCTTATACTGGCCCTTTAAATGTTTATTTGTTGTGTAAATAAAATATGGTAGTTTCTTGATTTTTTTCTGTCTCTTTCCCTCTCCGTTCTTTAGTTTTCCAGAGGTTACCGCTGGATAAACGAGTGTCCCAGGCTCTGAACGGAGACTTGTACTTCTCCAACGTTCTCCCAGAAGACAGCAGGCCCGACTACATCTGCTACGCCCGCTTCCCTCACACACAAACCATCCAGCAGAAACAGCCAATCTCAGTCACCGTGCTGAACAGTAAGTCCTTCAACTGACAATTCTCACAGATGTCAATATATTTTCTTAAAATGTGCTTAAACGGAGCTCTCTTTTCTACTAAAACAAGCGTGTTTTTTGTGCAACAATTTTTGCACACCAATTTTGAAAACGATTTTAACCATTGTAGGAAACTATGTTACATATTTGCTGTCACTTTTTTTGCATGTGGTGTTTTATCCACATGCAAACCTGTCTTAGCCTTACATGAATTTTTGTGCTTTTTACCCCTCTTTTCATGAGCCTCAAAGGCGTTCTAGCATGACTTGATTTACAGTAGTTCTATCCCGGTATAATACTGTATCTGTTCTGCTTAATCCTTATCTTGTGTTTTTTTAAAATGCATTTTCCCAACAGCCAATGCATTTGTTAAAAACACTTTACAAAGCCATTGTGTAGAAACATGTCCTGTTTTCTGTCCTAGTTTTGCATGCTTATTGTTTTCTGTTATATTACAGTGGAAACATTGAATGAGACTGTGGCTGCTTTGTACAATATCACTGATTTCTATAGTGGTGAGTGCTGCTGGTTTATATCCCACTCAGCCCCTTCAGTGTGAACCCAGTCCTGTTGTCACTCCCTCACCTAACCAAACCAAACCAAACCAAACCTGACACACACTCTCACTTTGAAACTGGCCTAAATCTCCTCCTCAGTGAATATATTAACAAAGTCCTCCCTTTGGTTTCTCTCATTTTTGTCCTCCGAGGGTTTACTTAATACAAATTCAGGTTCTTCGGTTGGAAAATCAAACATGTGATTCATTGTGTTGATTGAATAAAAACAACGTAATTACTTGATTTGAAAAAAGCCTCTGGTCTAAGCATGCATAACATTTAATCTCAGCTAATTTCCCTGGAATCATACAGACTACGCATACTCATTTAGACGGACCTAATGATCCGCTCAGTGATTATCCAAGATGGCTACTTAAGATCTCTCATACAACGCATGAGTATTCTAAAATGGCATTGCTCTTTTTCTACCGTTTGAACCATTTTTAAATGTAGATCTTTTCAATAAAGGATATGTGCTGGGCTTGGGGGTTTGCGTTTTACCAAAATCCCACTCACCTTCCATGGCTGTTTTTTCCACTCCCTGAAAGAGATTTTGCCCCGTGTATAATTGATCGTTAATTAACATTTAGAAACATTGCATTGTGTTGGGTCATCACTCACTCATTTACAGTCCCTTTTACCCAATTTGTTGGATCACTTAGAGAATATGTTTGTCACTCTGCGGCAAGAGGAGCCTTCAAATCAAATCTTGTAGTTTGGTATTGATTTGGTTTGTGTATCTGCATGTGTTCAGACAGCCCAGAGGGGGAGCGTCGCCCTGGTTTCATGATGCCTCAGGGTGCCACCAGCACCAAGATGGTTCTGAGAGGGGAGACTTTGGAGCTGGAGTGCATTGCTGATGGCTTGTGAGTAGGCACAAGAAAAATGTTGCTTCATAGAGAAACTCAAGGAATTCATAAAACATTTTTAACAAAAAGCGTAAATAGCCCCAAAACAGACATCCTGTTTTAAATGCTTCTGCGACAGGCCCACTCCGGAGATCTCCTGGCAGAAGGATGGAGGAGAGCTGCCGAGCAGCAGGATGTCCTTTCAGAACTTTCAGAAAACGCTCAAGATCTCTGATGTGACTGAAGCTGATGGTGGCAACTACCGCTGTACTGCTGCAAACAATCTGGGCACCGCACACCACATCATCAAGGTCACCGTCAAAGGTACGTCATGATGTAAAAACTCATTTAGTTGCAATGCTTCACCCAAGAGGTACTTCTGAGGAGGGATACACAGATGCAAATATTACTGCACCCTCACTTCCATAGTGTCATGTAGCTAGAAGTTTATTCGGCCCTTCTCTCACCTTGTCTCCCACAGCGGCTCCTTTCTGGGTCAGCGCCCCCAGGAACCTGATCCTCGCCCCGAATGAGACTGGGATCCTGACCTGTCGAGTCAACGGAGAACCCAAACCCAAGATCACCTGGTTTGTCAATGGAGTCTCCATTGAGAGTAAGTTGGATGAGAACAGGCTTTCAATTTTCCAAGTAGTTATGGTGTGTACCATTTGACACCTGTGTGTGAAGGCGAGAAGGACGTCTCTTCTAATTTTGATGTCTTGTTTTGGAATAGACGCACCAGAGGACCACACCCGGAAGGTGGACGATGACACCGTCATTCTCAGTAACGTACAGTCAGGATCCAGTGCCGTCTACCAGTGCAATGCATCCAATGAGTTTGGTTACCTGATGGCCAACGCTTTTGTCAACGTTCTTGGTGAGATACAACGGCGACCTTTAGTCTGTTTATTTGGAAATGTAACCCATATGTATTTGGAAATTTTGAATGTACGGTATGGTGTGTGAGGGGCGAGATAGAGAGAGAATGCTGATGTTGTGCTTCTCCCTACAGCTGAGCCACCAAGGGTGCTCACGCCACCCAACAGAGTGTACCAGGTCATCTCAAACAACCTTGCGTTGCTTCACTGTGCCTCCTTCGGCTCACCAATCCCAATCATCACCTGGTAAGATTCACATTTCCAGTGTTTCCGTAAAATGTATGTAGCCATGTTGAATTGAAAAATGTTAGGAGACACTAACCCCACCAAAACTGAAATAGTAAACCCATGATCTATGCTGTGCAGGTTCAAAGACAGTCAGACCAGCATTAAAAATGGCGACCCTTTTGTGATCCACGAGAATGGCACTCTTGAGATCCATGTAGCTCAGCCCTTAAACAGCGGGAAGTACACCTGCATCGCCAGCAACAACCTGGGCAGAAAGGAGAACCACGTGTACCTGGAGGTCAAAGGTAACTAATCAACCAGTCACAGCTCAACTCTGTCTAAAAAGAATGACGCCTCAGAGGTTTTATCTGTGCATCGCAACACCAAGCTGCATTAAAATATCAATATATATATATATACACACTTTTTTTCTATTAAAAGAGCCTACCCGTATCCTGAAGCAGCCAGAGTACAAGGTGGTGCAGAGAGGAATGAGCGCTGCATTCGAGTGTAAAGTCAAGCACGACCCATCCCTCATTCCCACCATGACCTGGCTCAAAGACAACGGAGAGCTGCCCGATGACGAGAGGTACAGAGAACCTTAACTCTTATTTACACCACAAACAATATCTTTTTCTAATTTGGTGATTTGGAGGAAAGTAAAACATGTAACATCCCCCTGTGATGCTGTCAGGTTTGTCGTGGACACAGACAGTCTGACCATCAAAGAGGTGAAGGATGGGGACGAGGGCACCTACACCTGCATCATGAACACCACCCTGGACAAGGACTCAGCCAGCGCCATGCTGACTGTCGTCGGTAGGTTGCGAGCCTAATGCGTGTTCAGGGGTCTTTCACACTCAGCAGGCTGCCAGAGGTCGAGGATTGTTAAGAGTTCAGGTTCTTCAAATTCTGGATTTATGTAGTTTTGAAGAAAACTGAAATTATACTGAGACAAAGGAAATGATATCACTTTGTTGATATATTGTTAACTGTTTAGACGCATCAAAGTCTAAAATGAACAAATGAATCTGCCTACTGTACAACAAATGTCAATGAGACAACCTGCAGTATCACATGGTATCAGGTTACTCTGATTTAGCCTGCCCAGTACACAATGCAGGAAAAAGTGATCTAAAATGTTATTCTTTTGTTCCTATGTGACTCAGATTTTTGTTGGGGGGGAAAACTGTGAACAGCACAAGTCACATGGGTTCTGATGTTTTTCAAATTTGGGCCACTTTCATATATAGATCCAAATCAGATACAGGTCTGATCTTTGGCAATCTGACCTCAGTCTGAACAGGACGTACACAGAGTTTTATACAGATTGATTTCATTGCCTTAACCTGCTTTGGAGCAGGTCAGGTGTTCAGCATTAGTTACCATGGTTATCAACCCCGGTAAGAAGTGAACCACCTTCATCGTACTGAAGAAACAGAGTTAACTCTGCACTTACCTTTATAACTGAAAATGAAGCACTTTGATCTTCTGCTGGAGGTCATAGTAGATAATCCATTCTGTCTGTTATGAAATAATCTCTTACAAAAAAATCTGATTTGAGCATTTAGTCTTGTAATATGAACACAGCCGTCGTGTCAGAGTACTGGTGTATTTCCTGCTTTTCTGCTGTTTCCAAAATATTTCAATAACATCTAACCTCTTCTACTTTACTCTTTGCTTCTTGCTGTCTCAGAGGCTACTCCTACTCCAGCTATTGTCTACGGTAATCTATGTCCATAGATTATAACTATATACCTTTCATCAGTTCCCTTTGTGAAACCTGTAGCCTCCCATTTCACCTCCATGTTCAGTTTCATCAGTGTTATTTCTCTCTTCACTTATAATTTAACCATTTTATAGACTTTTTTTCCTCTATAAGCACGCCACACAGGTGTTTTCACTTGGCCTGCTCGTTAGCTGTTTGTGAGCATGTGCAGACTGTGACTGATTGCAGAGAGCTAATCAGGCTGAGTGGAAACACCTGTGTGGGTGTGCCTGGACTTTGAATATTTGAATGTACCAATTAGTCATTTTAATCTCTTAATAAGACAATAAAAGGAAGGTATTGAAATAAAAAACCACCTCATGTGTATTATGGAATAAAGATAAACTGTCATACAGCAGTGAGGAATGGACACATATACATTTTAAACCAGTTCAGTTTATTTCATGGGATCTGTTATATGACAAAAAAAAAAAATCCATTGCTACAAAGTGAGTTATCTTACATTTTACATACTGTAGAACTCTGTTCTGATTTTAATCAAAACAGTAGCAAGGGATGGGTGTTATCAATGCCGGGAGAGGATTCTAATTTTTCTCTGGTGCTGGGCTCCTTGTTGTGTTTGCAGAGAAACCTGACCCTCCAACCGACCTGGAACTGACAGACCAGACAGAGAGGAGCGTCCAGCTCACCTGGATCCCAGGAGATGAACACAACAGTCCCACAGATAGTACGAAATACCTCACTGTTCTTTTGCATGGCAACCGAATCATCAAACTTCTTCATTTAACTTGAAATTAGAACACTGCTACTGACACAGATATATCAAACTTTGCTGAGTTCCTCTTTTAGGTGAAAGTCAGTGTGGCCACTAGCCTGACTTTCTTTAAGGAACTGTTCTTAAATACTCCATTTCTTTCTCAGAGTTTCTGATCCAATACGAGGATCTTCTCCACCAGCCAGGAGTTTGGGTTAACCTCACAGAGGTTGCCGGCTCAGGCACCACGGCACGCTTAAACCTCTCTCCGTACGTCTACTACTCCTTCAGAGTCCTGGCTACCAACCGTGTCGGCTACAGCGAGCCCAGCCAGCCCTCAAGCCAATACAGGACCAACCCTGCAGGTGATAAAACAAAGTCATCCCCTTCAGGAAAGAAACACTGCAACACGTTACAGAGTAAATACTGATATTGTTTTGTTTATATTAGCTCCTGATGAAAATCCATCAAACGTCCAGGGAGTAGGAACAGAACCTGGGAACTTAGTCATCTCCTGGACGGTAAGACATACCTGTTGTTCAATTGAAGATCACTCTGTGTTAATGGCTGACTGTGAGCATCTTTTTGGAATATATTTAATAAAAATCTGAATCTAAAAATGTGTGTCTGTACAGCCACTGACAGGATTTCAGTCTAATGGGCCCAGTCTGGAGTACAAAGTGCTGTGGAGACAGAGAGACGTGGAGGATGAATGGTCCTCAAAGAACGTAGCAAACGTTTCCCAGTTTGTCGTGACTGGAACTCCAACCTATGTGCCGTACGAAGTCAAGGTTCAAGCTATTAATGATTACGGCAGCGGTCCTGAACCTAAGGCTGTGGTTGGATACTCTGGAGAAGACTGTGAGTAAAGTGATTATTATCTACTTTTAAAAGGTTTTTTTGTTTTTGTTTCGATTTTATTTGGGGAAAAATAGCTTTAGTCATCCAAAGTCACACAAAATAAATGAACTTAACCGTTTATTCAGTAGCAAATCAAAGCTGGTCTGCATAGGTGTTGGGATTCAAGTGATTTTCAGTGGCATCACCAGAACTCGCATCACTAAAATCAGAGAGACATGTCTCGAGGATGTGATGGAAAACCATTGAATTGATTTGATAATCGATTCAGCTTTTTTTTCTTTTTTCACTTCCAAACAAACGACACAGATAAAAGGATGTTTTTAATTTCTGCTGGGTCTTGAAACTAAATCTCAGCTGCTTCTCCGTCTCGTCTCTTTTCCGCAGTGCCTTTGTCAGCTCCTGATAGCGTGCAGGTCATGGTGCACAACAGCACTCTGGCAGAGGTTCACTGGGAGCCTGTACCTTCCCCGTCAGTCAGAGGAAAACTACAGGGGTACAAGGTAAAGTTTTCATTCATGTTGTAGCACTTTTCTAGTTGTAGCATTACTGGTTGAAATAATGGGATTAAAGTGTGGCTGTTCAGCAGTGGTGGTGAGTAAATAAAAATGATTGTAGAAGAATTGCTCAGGGGGTGGAAATCTTTGCAAAAATAAAGTGTTGGATTTATTATCCAAAAACGCACAAAAGAGCAAAAAACGACAGTCCTGGGGAAATAAATAAAAAAGCAGCTCGACTAAATAAGCTGAAACACAGCCTCGCAGCAAGCCGCCACAAACAACAATGGCTAGTCTACTTGTATTCTGCAGAAGCTCAGTCCGCAGGGACTTGGGTTGGGAAGTGGGGGGGTCGCCGGTTCAAGTCCCAATGTGGACCATTATATGTCTGTTGGCTGGAGAGGTGCCAGGGCACTTCCCGAGAACTACCGAGGTGCCCTTGAGCAAAGTATCGAACCTGTTCCCTGCTGCACGGTGGTGTAGTGGTTAGTGCTGTTGCCTCACAGACAGGAGGCTGCTTGTTCATATCCCCGACCCCCCCCCCCACCCGAGACATAAAGTCATGAACACAAAGCTCTTTTAAACACACAACCTGGAAGTTGTCTCTTTAAGAACGGTTCAGTATTTCAGGCTCTCTAAACAATGTATTTTTACAATAAGCCTATTTACATATGTTACATGTGTAGAGTAACCCTAACACTTCCTGATGTGTTTCCTCCAGGTTTACTACCATCGCGAGCGCGGTTTGCACGAGACAGAAGGGGACACCGAGCAGAAAGAGGAGCAGGTTTTGACGTTCAGCGGGAATCGTAGCGAGGGGCGTCTGCCCGGCCTCCAGCCTTACAGCGTCTACGCCTCTCCATCAGGGTCCTCAACAGCAAAGGAGAGGGGCCTCCAAGTCCCGGCAAGAAATTTGAGACACCTGAGGGAGGTGTGTACGGCTGATGTTGGCTGCTTATTGTTTTTCTGCAGGCATGGAGCAACAGGTTTACTCTACAAACAACCTGGAATCACAACAATGGCTCCACCCCAATCTCTAGCCGAAAGCCTAAGCACTGAACGCTTACCGACTTTGTAATGATGTCGGGCATGCAGTGTGTGAGTGCCTGAGTCGGGCTTGAGGTGGTATAAAAAATAAAGAAAAGGACAACCTTCACTGACATCATGTGTTGCCTGGAAACAAGGTGCAGAGTTGTAATAAAATAAAAAATTCACACCTCCAACATATAGCATTGTGTGTCTTGCATTAGTGTGTTTTTATAGTATATTGAACTTGATGATTGCACTCAATGATTGGACCTTGGAACACCCCCAAGCACTTACACACGTCAGAGTCAGTGAGTGTGGCATAGGAGATTTTGATTGGGCAAGTGTCTACAGTCGTATAACTCAGTGTTAAAAAATGATTCTCTACAACATTGTCATTGTTTTTTTTTTTTTTTGCAGTTCCAGGACCTCCTTCTTTCTTTAACGTCTTAAACCCCAGTCTGGACTCGCTCACTCTAGAATGGGGCCCACCACTGACCAACAATGGTCGCCTTGCTGGATACACACTGAAATACCAACCAGGTAGACTTCTCATCTGCCTCACAAAGCTTAACGTGTTCTGCACAGTATTAATTTCCTGTTTCCACAGCTACGACTCCTCATCCGTCCTTAATTTCTCTAACCATCCACCCCTTCTCTCTCTGTGCAGTCAACAACACCAATGAACTTGGCCCAATCAAGGTCATGACGCTCCTCTCCAACGAGACCACCATCACTCTGGCCAACCTGAACTCCAGCATGCTCTACAAGTTTTACCTGAGTGCAAAGACAATCAAGGGCTCGGGCCCGTTCATCACAGAGGAGGCCTTCACTGTCATGGACACAGGTGAGTTATTTCGTTGAACCAGTATCTTCATTAGACTTAAAAAAAAGGAACCCAAGTGTCAGATTCTGTTCTAGGAGATTCCTATGAGCGATTAGGTCCAACAGCTTTCCATTCCTTATATCTCTCCTCTATTTCTTTCCCTGTTTTTTTCTCTCTCTGAAGCTCATACTCAGCCCACTGTAGTGGCAGGCAAAGGTAACCCGAGTTGCCACTGGAAGCAGCTGCATGTCCTTCATATAATCAGATTAGAGCTTAGAGTAGAAGTTTATATTATTCACCCCTGCATGTAACTAAGGTAGCATGTCTAAAAAACAAAAAGTAGGATTCATGAAAACAGACTTCCATGGCATCTGCAAGCCAAGTCCTTGTATCCTCTTCATACAGAATAGCTTCCACTTAATGCAATCAAAGTGAAATATCAGATGTGTAACGTTGTGCTTGCAGATATAGCATCTTGTATTTACCATCTTCTAATGAGCCGCTTTTTCATTAGAAGCGTCTCGCATGATGCCTGTGAATTTGTCCGATCCAGTCTAACACGTTGTGTATACCTGCTGATGCTTTGGTATAAAAAGATGTCTTGTTGATAATTACGTAATATTGGGTTTAAATAATATGCATGCTGCCCGGCTCAGCATGTCGGTATTAATTAAAAAAGAAATCACTGGCTCTGCTGTTTTTTTTGTTGTTTTTTTTAAATCTGTATGTTGTCTCCTGTAGCCAGTTTGTGTGTTGTCTCACTCTTTTCCGTGTCCTTTCAGGCCTCACAGAGCCCCCTCACCCAACCTCCCCCATCACTCAGTCTCCGCATCCCCCTCTTCACAAGGGTACAAGCACTCCCTGTGTCCCCCCCCCCTTCCTACCTCCCCCCTTTATAATCTACAGAATATGTCCTGCTGAAAATAGTCAATCTCAAGTCTTTAAAATGATACATTAATTGGAAGAAAAATCAATGTTGGTATGAAAAAGGAACAACATCAGCACTTGAAGCACTTCAACATATTTTCCAAGATGGCTGCAGTTGGATTTGTTACTATAAGTGAGGCTATAGAAGTCCTCACTGAGATGGTAGATGAAGCAGCGACATGATTGATATGTGGCAAGATGAGAAGTTAATGTGAAGCCCTGATTACATCTTAAATGTAAAACTATAAATGATCAAGTGCACAAAGCTGGAGTTGCATTATCATGAATTCTGGCATATTGTTGATGTTTTTCTGCTCAAACCTTTACTTAGTCTCCCTCAATGATTTTTTTCACTGTAGTGAAATAGTTGAGAAATTCAGTTGTATAAAATTGCTATATTCTTAAAGTCTTTGCTTTTCTTTCTCTCCTGTGTGCTCAAAGCGCCCCCTGTTGGCCCTGCGTTCGGCCCAGTTAACGCGTCCGTATCGGAGGAGGGTGCGGTGATCAGTTGGGATTACTTTGGACACCATAAGAATGTTTATGTGGAATATAGTGTAGAAAACAGTAAGGTCTTCTCTCTGTGTTTGCAGTAATCATCTAAATGCTAAAAAAAAAACCATTATGCCTGCATTTAACCCCCTCTACATCGGCTACACTGCTTCCAGGTAAAGAGGACTGGAAAAAGGAGTTGGTAAACGGTTCACACTGGCATATGATAAAAGGATTAAAGCCAGGGACGTCTTATAAAGTGCGCGTGGTCGCTAGAGACCCGGCTGACCCGGCGGTCCACAGCACAAACGAGGTGCTGGTCACTGTGCCAGGTGAGGCGGCATGCCTCGCGGACAGATCGTCTTTGTGTTTAATTTCTCTAGTTTCCCCATCCCCTGTCTGTTATCATTAGACATAAAAAAAAAACCTTCATGTATGAATGTACAGTAGTTAGCTGGTTTAGCGTACAAGCATGTCGCCAGCAGCTGATCATGCATGTCGATAAAATCACGTCAGTGTCGATTAAATCATTAATAAGTCATGTGGATTGAATCATTAAAAAGAGGTCCATTGTTTAGCTGTGTTGATTTGATGTACTTTTGTTTTGTTAACAGTGTCTGAACAATCATCACATATTAACCCTTTTTACAGCCTCATTTCATTTTAGTGTCTCCGCATGACGATTTCAACATTTAAGCAGCAGCAGTGATTTGACGACTCATCATTTTTCTCCATCTTTTTGCACCTCCCCTCTTTGTGTGTGTGTGTGTGTGTGTGTGTGTCCAGCTGGACCCAGCAGGCAGGTCGACATAGCCACCCAGGGATGGTTTATTGGACTCATGTGTGCCATCGCCCTCCTCATATTGGTCCTTCTCATTGTGTGCTTCATAAAGAGGAACAAAGGCGGCAAATATCCAGGTACCTCATAAATCAGCGGTGTATACTGTATTTCAAGAGTAATGACATGCATTTAAGGAGAAGAAACAAAATGAATTGTGTCATCTTCAGTGAAAGAGAAAGAAGACGCTCACCAAGACCCGGAGATCCAGCCCATGAAAGAGGACGACGGGACGTTTGGAGAGTACAGGTGAGACCTGCTCACTAGCTAGAAAGGGGTTAGCACTGTAGCGCACATTGTTTACTCGCCGTGTGTCCTGACTTGACTGTTTGTATGTAGAACATTTGACCAGGCCGCAGAGACACTCTCCCCACCAGACTCCGTTACCAAACACTGCATAGAGGCAAGGCAAAAGAAGCACGTCCCTAATGTGTCCTATCTTTAGAATGACCAACTCACATGAGCACTTCTACCGTGCAAAATTAGCTAAACATGCTACAAATGCCCATTGTAACAAGTAATACCATCTCTGGCTAACGTAGCTGTATGCTAGTTATTTCATCACATTTCCTACATTTTTCCTGAAGTAGAAATGTTTCTGAATTAAGTATTCTAAGGATTCTTAGAGGCCTACGAGTTTCCTTATTGAGTGGTAGCTTTGAATAAATGAGTGAAACTTTGTATTTCTGACTAAATGTTTCCGTCATTGTGCTTCAAATCTTCCATATGCATGCTTTGTTTTCTGTCTGTGTTTTTTAAAATGAAAAAAAAAAAAAAAACAAACACCCATTGTGGCGTGTGAATTGCTTTTCATGTGTGCTTCCATTCTTATCTTTGTTTTGCTCGTTTAGGTCTATAGAGAGGTAAGACGAGACGTGGTTGGAAAAAACCCCCCAAAAAACAGCATGCAAGCAAGCAAGGAGAGAGTGCAACCTGATCTGGTTTAACGACATCATCATACTCATTCGGCATAGACGACAATCACAGCATCAAATGCTAAAAATGTTGACATCAAATCGTAACTGCTTGTACATCCCTATCATCCCTCATATCGATTTTGACTAATTCAACTGTTGGGAAACATCCTATCCTAGTTGTAGAGCTTGCAAACTGTTGATCTGAACAGGTAGTTCTTCTAGACTAAACATACGCACTGATCAAGTCGATTTGGTTGAATCTTTTTTTCGGGGGGAAAGAGACTGCTAATGGGGGTGCATTTTTGACTAATGCATGTTAACTACAGCATACGGGATGATTCAAATGCAGGGAGTGTGTATGAAGGTAAAGTCCTGCAAGAGACTGAACAGCACGCTTTTGAAGAATCATTTTTGCAGAGGTCATTAACCCTTAATCTGAAAAACACTACTAACGCAATGAAGTTCTGAAGATGTAGCTGGGCTGCTCCACTGTGCAACAACCCTTAAAAGATATACTGTTTATGATGTCCTGTTCTTATCGTGATTTTCTGAGCAAACCTGTGTACGCTCATATTTCAACATTGAGTCACTGCATGTGGTACCAGGGACGTCAGAGCACCTTGTTGAAAACCTGAGCCCAAAAAAAGAAAAGAAACTACTGTCGTTACGAGACCGTATTTCCTCAAATAAACACTGCAGCCTTTCTACAAATCAGGGCCGTATTAGAGGCAGACCTCTAGTTCTACTTTGCTCTGTTTGAAGAGTAGAATTGGTCATCTTGTGTTACAAGGCCTCACTTTTATCAGCTTTTGTTTCCCCTGGTAAAGTAACTGCATGCCACATTTGGTACTTTCTCATAAAAAAAATCCCTCAGAGGATTCTGTTATGAAAACAGTTGTCAAAAAGTCTTTGCACAGTTCCTAAACAGCACTGTAATGTAGATACTGCCATCTTGTGGCACCTTGAGGTACTACAGTTTGGCAGGACATTGGCCCTTAACATTATGTTATTGTTGGATTTATTAAATTAAAGCAGATAAATGAATTTTAAGAACTTAAAATGCAAGAGTATATCCACAGTTTATTTTAAACCCTAGCATGATTTGGCACTGTGTTGGCTGTTGTTAGAGATGAGCTTTTATTCGACTACCTGCTTTTATTTGAGGAAGTTACGCTTACATGGCTTTTGTGCAGTGGACTACCCTTGTGAAATGCTGACTGATCTTGCGTTGGTTTCTGACCACTGCAGAACATGTTGAATTAATTATTCTTACTAAACTTCCCCCGAACCTTTTTCTCCCCTTTGCAGTGACACAGAGGACCACAAGCCACTGAAGGGCAGCAGGACACCGTCCAACGGGACGGTGCGCCGTGATGAGAGCGACGACAGCCTGGTGGATTATGGGGAGGGCGGGGATGGACAGTTCAACGAGGACGGCTCCTTCATCGGCCAATACAGCGGCAAGAAAGAAAAAGACACGCACGAAGGCAACGAGAGTTCGGAAGCCCCGTCGCCCGTCAACGCCATGAACTCTTTTGTCTAACGTAGCGGCGGAGGGCGGCTACGCTGCGACGGTTGCTACAGCCACGCCTTGTCACCCTGGCAAATGTGACCATGGGGACCGCCTCTGTGGTGGCAGTTGCGAGGGTGACGGTGGATGTGGACACCTACTTCTAACCACGGTGGCTGTCACACCCTCATCTTCAGCCCCTCCCCCCCACTCCCCTCCCCCCCCTGTCACACTGTGATCTCTGATCGACACACACTCAGCACGGCAAAGACCGACAACACATCCCCCATGACCATAACAAGAAGGTGTGAAACGAGGGATGTGAGGACTCTTGAGAAGGAGAGAGGAAGCAATACAGAAAAGCTGAAGGAATGTACCAGAAAGAGTTTTACTAGAAGTGGGGCCGTGTGTGTGTGTGTGTGTGTGTGTTGTGTGTGTTGTGTGTGTGTGTGTGTGTGTGTGTGTGTGTGTGTGTGTGTGTGTGTGTGTGTGTGTGTGTGTGTGTGTGTGTGTGTGTGTGTGTGTGTGTGTGTGTGTGTGCCATATGATCTTCTTTGCAAACATACTCAAACGTGTATCCAAATAATCCATTTGATCAAATGACAGTACATGGACCGGCAGGCAGGCGAATATGCATCGAATCACACTCATCTGCATGAAGAAAAATCATGATTGTGTGATGCATTTTACCATCCTTGTGTAAGTTGTTGCAGAGATGAGATGATAGTTGAGATTGTATATGATGCACGCCTAATAGCGTCTGGATATGCCTCTTTTTGTTTGCTTTTTTTTTTTTCTTCTCCCCCCTTCCCCCAGTCAAAGTGTTCGATGGCATTTGATGTATCGAGAAAAAATGGCGGCAAGTGTCTTTGTGGACACAGCTGTGAAAATTTGTGACGCAAAAGTAGAAGCTAGCGTTTGTCTTTTTGGGACAGATGAACTGTTTGTACATATGTAATAGAATAAGAAGAGATCTATATTTCAAGGTCAGGGATGTCCATTTGTAGTCTTTGGAAACCTGGCCAAAAACACTGAACTCAGCGACGGGTCACTCCTTATAACACCAGCCAGCCAGAACTCTCACAGAAAATCCAATTGGCCTGTTTATTTGTCCTTTACACAGATCCTAAACGTCTTCTTCCGAGCACTTAAGGAACACAAAGTTGGAGGTGTGGCTGTTTCACCCCCAAAAGTTTGAGCCGCTGTGGAAGCCTTTTTTTTTTCCGCTAGTTCATCACGGTATAGTTAGAGTTCACCTCTACCTGGATGTTGTCTAAAATAGCATTTCCACTTCTCTGCTCTGTAATTCTGTCAGAAAAGAGAGAGAGAAAAAAACTGTTCTATAAGTTGACGATCGGAGAACCTCTCTGCACGGTTTCTAGTGCCTTTGTAGAGAACAGTGACTCAGATGCATACAGATACATCCCTCTTCATAGACAGACCTTTGCTCAGTGCAGATCAGATATACCATGAATACTGTACACACACATACGAGGAAGAACCTCTCCATCTTAGGCTTCAATAAATCTAACGGCTTTGCAAGTATTCAAAGTTAAATAAGTTTTAAAGGGATGTTCAAGAAAATAAGACATTCTCTTGTAAGCTATATGCTTGAGTTTTAGCAAAACATCTATGTGGTCTAATCGGCTTCAGTTAGCCTCCTTCAGTCTTTAAATAGCTTGCAAAAAGGCACCTAACTATTTAAAAAAAAACGGGCTTTTAAAAACGACCTTTTCACAGTTAAACTTTGGCGTTACATGTGAGGAGTCATTTTCAGCTATGGATTGTTATAGCCTGGTTGACAATCATACACTCATAATACAGGCATACAAACAAAACACGTTTCACCATCACGCTAAGACTTCAAGACATAAATGTGTAGGAAACCTGAGGTGAGATCTCTTCATTTCAAACCCATTCATGTTGAGGAGGAGCCAAACTACTGCCAACCTGCTCCCAGGTAACTGCCAACAGGAAACACAGACTATTATCAGGGCGGGACTTTACTGTTACCAGTAGCACTTAGAAAATGAAAGGGGGGGTAGGGGGGTCATAAATCAGCGCAATGATACTGAATGTGGAAATAAGTGTTATCTGTTAATGTGAATGAAAAAAAATAGCTTGTTTCACTGCAAATGGTAAACACACTGGTGACTTTGGTTTATGCATTTATTCTTCTGTCTGTGTATGTTGTCAGGGCAGCACTCGGTGAGTTTTCTATTACTGTAAATGATTGAAGATTGTGTGTGAATGTTTGGGTGCATGTGTGTGTGTGTGCGCGTGTGTGCAGCACATGCATGCTACAGTCTTACAGCGTGCGTGGTGAATACTTTGCTTTCAATATCCATGGATAACAGTCTGATGTGTGTCCAGTAGTCCACTCCTGCTCCCAACAGGAGATACAAGACTTTTAATTTTAATTTTTATTTTCTGAAAACATTTCCACGTCTTACTTTTATCATAACTTGCATCAAGTTTTTAGGTTTTGCGATGCGTCAGCTTTCCACGTGTAGATATTTTTTGTTGTATTTTGTAAATAACGGCTTGAATTGAGCGTAGACGTGAGGAGGTCAGAGGTGAGAGATCGAGCTTGATTAACCCTGCTGCATTATGGGTAGAAGGGTTAAAAAAAATAAAATAAGGCGTTGCGTGAGATGAGACTATTTACAGTTTTCACACTTTAATTTGCTGTGAAATGTTCTCTCTTTTTTTTTTTTTTTAACTTGTCAGGTGAATTTGCTAGCTCAAATGTTTCGCCTATCAGGTATCAAAGGAGATTATTGAACCTGTGACTGAGCTCTTGTGACACCTGCATTGTTTCTGTCTCTTGACAGTTTACGCACCTTTTCTGTATTTTTTTACAAAGAGGCGCACACGTTTAAACAGGATGCATCATTTCACACATCATGTGTCTAGTCAACGACTACACCTGGTGTTTGAATGCAGCATGCCGGAGAACACAAGTCGTAAACTAGACATGAGATAAAAACAGACACATCCTTGTTAAAAGTGTGCGTTACAAAAAAAAAAGAGAAGCTAAACTGTCATTTGGAGGATACAGAAGGATGGCCGGCCCGGACAGTTCAAACAGACTGGCACATTGGAGTGTGAATACCCTGAAAACAATGTTCTAGTGACTGGTGGACATACAGTAGGCTATACAGTATATGATATGATATAATATAACATTCTGGTTAATGTTGAAGCTATGAGAAGCATGAACGGCTGTCAAAATGGTTTACTCTACGATATAATATTGCAAAATATTTTGTATTTTAAATGAAGTTTAAAAAAATGAAATAAATGTTGGTTTCAGGATTTCAAATCACATTGTTAGTTTTTCTTTGAGCTCATGCATGTTTATGTGCAGCATGCACAAGTGTTTGTATGTAGCTCCCTCTAGTGTATAGAGTGAGAATGATGTGTATTTTATTTTTTTTAAATCGGTCATTTTACCCCAAAGAGATAAAGCTTTCAAAAAAAAAAAGTTAATCCTTGAAAGATTAACGCTCATCTGCGGTGTGCGCATACGCTGTGCGTCTATGTTGTAAAATACTGGACAACTGGTCAAGAAATATGAGAGCACATCGCTTAAATACGAGAAGAAGAAAAAAACAACCACATGCAACAATGGATGAGGAAAAAGATGAAAGTAGTAAATAAATCAAAGTCCTTACTAAAGTAAAAGTGAGTGCAAGCCGGATTATAATCACATTTAACCGGCCCTTTTTCCTCCAATAAGAACATCAAAGCATGCTTTGATTGAATCATAGTGATGTCTGGAGGTTGTCATTAATAATGGATTGGTCTGAAGGTCATTTGTGATGCACAGCACATGGTGAGGAGTAAAATGCAGACTTCAGTTTTCTGTACAGTTTTCACACTAACGCACTGATAATCTGTTTAAATCTAAACATTTAGCCTATGTTTTTTTTTTCCTAAACAGCGTGTCGTATCGATCACTTTGTGATTAATACAACTGCTGGTATCACAGATGTATTCAATTGATCTAATAATATTCTTAAAAGGATTGATTTTGTGCACGTTTTAAAAAAGGAGAAAAAAAACAACACCAACAACAATAGCAGCTTAATTCATTTCAAATAAGAATGTATATCTCTTGTCTGGGATGCGCAGAAGCATGATGCCCGCATCCCTCCCATCCTCCCCTCTGTCGCGGAACCAATCGCAGCGCATCTTCGCTGCCCTCCAGAGGCGTCACTCCGCCGCTCTCCTCCAATAGAAAAGTTGCTCTGAACGGGACGCTCCGGCGGGTGGGCTTTGGGACGATGCGGTTCGGGTCCAGGTGTGCCATGCGGACAGTGAACTGAAATTTTGCCATTCTGCCTTGAAAGGTAAGAACGACACCACATTCAGAAGTGTGCACGAGCTCTCGCGGGCTCCCCTGTCTAGACTTAGTGAGGATGAAGTGTGTGTTTTGCAGCGCTTGTATAGATCTGAAATGGACCGGCACAGGAGTACCGCAATGCAGAGCAGTGAATTACCGGTGCCGCTCAGTCGTCATTGGGGTGAAGTGATGTAAGATGCTACGCAGTTTCTATTTGAAGCCGGTAATTTTGGGGATGACTGCGACAAAGTGTGTATTGTTTGATTAGAGGAGGGTTTCGCACTTTTTGTCACGTAGAGGACATGCAAAGATAAGAAAGTGTCTCTGCAGAGGATGAGACAAGGTGAGACAGTCTGACACTGTATGCGTCAAGGACACAGGAAGCTGCTGGTGCACCATGGCATCTATTTGTTTGATAGAAAAACTGTCCTTCATGGGCAAGAGGGCAACTCCCTAATGCTCCAAACACTGCTAAAAGACTGTACTCTGTGCTGTGATGCAGTATCAAATCTGCAGCTATTGATCAATAAATTGAATGTATTTGGCTTGAAAGTAAGTGAAATACTGCATACTGTATTAGGACATGAATCCACATGTATCCTGTGAATGACAATGACTATCCTCTCACTTGTCCCCTAGACTGTAAAAATGCAAATGTCCAAACTGTCATGGCTGCAGAATGGTCAGAGGAAAAGGGATTATTCCGCCACTCAAATCCTAAACATGTGTCCACTGTTGTTTCCTGTCTATAGTTTGACGTATTAGAACCCAAAAATAGCAAATTAAATCAGAAGTAGTCCACTTCAATGCAGCAACCACTAACTGAGAATCCTCTGGAGCAACTGGGATATCCTGCCGTTTGAATTCACACATGACTTTGGATGTGATTTTTCTGCAGCCGTAAAAAAACCTCATGAAACAGGGAATCACTAAGACACTGGGATTAATACACATGCTGACCTCGATTCCTCTGGTCTATCCGAAGAGGATCTGTGATGAGATTATAGTGAGGGGAAGCACATTCTGATGAATTACAATTATTGCTCAAACAGATTGCTGCAACTGTAATCTATAAAGCCAGAGCTGTATATATAAAGGTGTCACAGAAGCTTTTATATTGCTTTGTGATCATTAGCCTGAATTAAATTACACTTTGATGCAAATACCATCAACGCAATCCTCCCAATGAGTACAGTGTGTAGACACACACATGTGTAGGTGCAGGATATGAAGCACACTGCGAATATACTCTACTGATAATAGTGTTGAGTCATCAGGAGTGCACATGAGGAGTGAGTGCTGCAGTCTCTGCGTGTGGATGAGCTGAGTGCCTCTGCTCTCCCTCTCTTCTCCACATTTCTTAAAGGTTGAGACGAATGTGGAACTGCTGAGGCTCAGGGGAGGTGGCTGTGGGGCAGCTAATCCTTGCGACATTTTCTTTGTACTTTTTCTCTCTTTTTCCCACTTCCATAATGACTGTGTGGCTGCTCGCTACTGTAGGATGTTGTCATTTGTTTTTGGCTTTCTTGATGGCCACAATATCTATTTAAACAGCTTGCCATAGGTGGTTTTTATTCTCTAGATGTATACTCAAAAGTGAACTAAAACAGCTTTCTAATAAAGCTTTCCCTAACCCATCTGTAATAAACACATACATATGAATTTCCAACATTTTGACATGTTGAGGGGTTTTTCTACTTTCTGTGTTTTCTTTCTGTTTTCCCTTGATTTACCGTCCCTGATCCCATCCTTGTGACCTTTGACACTATGGGAGGATTATTGTCAGAGTCTGAGCTTTAAGCTGACTGTTTTGTTGAAATGTCTGCGATGCATTTTAGAGTAGGCATGTTGCGCTTCTGTTGTGATTCCTCTTTGAATAGTTTTCATATATTCAGACAGTCTTCATATATTTAATATGTATCATTTTCTGCAGGTTGTCAGACTTTACTAGCCGGTTCTTGAATTGGATGCATTTTGCTTCAACAACTGAAGTGAGTTGTGGAAGAGACACCATGTTCAGGGTGTAGAATAAATATGTAACACTGTGACTGAGGCTGATCTCCAGTGGTTCAAAAAGGAAATACCGTAGTCTTCAAAAATGTGCCATGACAAAGGTTAATGAAAGTACCCAGGTATCATCAGGAAAAACATACTTGTGTATTAAAAGTAAAAGTTTGATACAGTTTTTTTCACTTCAGAATACATGTAAGGGCATTTTGATATTGTAGTTTGTAGATGTACAGCTAAATGTAGATTTGTATCCTACTGGGTAGGTTTGCAGTACAGTTATGTATCACATCATATTGGCATACCATGTGTCTTGTGTCAAAAGTAACAAGTGTCAAATAGTATAAGAGATGTATAGTTGCATCAAACTATATAGTATATAAAGTATATAACAAATATACTTAAGTGCAGTATTTCAGAAGAAGTACTCAATATTAAGCCAGTTACAGAATATAAAGACATGGAAATTCAGTTTGGGTGACAGAAAATCTCCAATTTAAACCTAACATGTAAATGAGACCATGTAAATGTGAACAGGCATTCCTTCAGAACACATTCTGTTGGCTGTCTCCCTTTTTACTATCTAAATCTATTATGATATGATCTGGCCTGATGATACCCAACCTCCTTGATAACATCAGTATCTGCTACTAATTCAGCCTGATTTATCTGTATATCGTTCTTTTACACTGTTGCAATGGGACACGCCTATTTAACGGATGCATACAGATGCTTCCCTTGTTTGATGTGTCTAAAAAAGTTTTCGACTGAAAGAATTACACATCATAAGGAGATCTCACCTCTGCTAGTTCTTCTCTCACTCTTAATATTTCTCCTTGAATGTCTTGTTGATGGTAAGAGTTAAAACGCTGCAGTTGCTCACAGCAGTGCTGCTATTTCATCCTACAGACATGATGTGATGTGTCAGCATGTGTGACAGCACAGTAGGAGCTGTCGAGGTACCGAAGTGCTACCTGGTGTTTTGTTTCTACACAGGCAGACTGTTTTAGTGCGTGTCTCCTGCTGGTGCATGTCCTTGTGGATGTGCATGCACTCCGCATAACTATTTGCAGTGTTCTGCTGAGTCACTCACATCCTGAATCATTTATATACACTGGAGGGCTCCTGTTAGTCCTGCACTCACTATTTCTGGTGTAGAAAGTCATGCACAGTCATCAGTTTGATATTATATCTTAAGGGTCAAATCTGGGTGTTTTTATTATACAATGACTGTTCCTACCATTAGAGAATATCATCCATCCATCCATCCATTGTTACTGATACGGAATTCCCCATTCGGGGTCACATGGGCTTGAGCTGATCTCAGCTGTCATTGGGAGAGACACAGGGTACACCCTGGACTAGTCGCCAGTCAATCACAGGGCAGACATATAGATACAGACAACCAGCCACACACACATTCAGACCTACGAGCATTTTTGGGTGACCACAGAGACTGTGGGAGCAAGCCGTAGTACCCAGATAAAACCCACACATGCACAGGGGGAACATGCAAACTCCAAACAGAGAGGCTCCAGTCCGACGAGGATTCGAACCAGGAGTCTTCTCGCTGTGAGGCAACAGATAACCACATAGCCGTGCAGCCTTAAAGAATGTCATATCATACAAAATAAAAAATACACTCTATTGCTGACAGTCTCAAATCTTGTCCTCCTCAGCCCTTTCCAGTTCATGTCCAGTCCATCAACTTCTTGTGTGTTGCTTGGTCCATGCTCATAATTCCAAGGCCGCAGAAAGTCCCTTACCATGGCTTCAGCTGCTTTACTGCTACTGGCCCTCTCCTCCTCCATCTCCCTCACAGGTAAGAGCCACAGTGATGCCTAGAAAATTAACTACTCACACCCTAAAACATAAAAAAGAATGCATAAATAGTGTGCTTTTATAATATGATCTTATTTAAGTATAAACCCTGCACATTATTGATCAACTTAACTATATTTGCTATCAGGAGGAA